TCGCGTACAAGAGCCTGCTCGACATGGTGGGTTTCACCTGGGAGAGGAGAGGGGCGTGGTCCAGGATGTTCAACCAGCTCACGGCGTACCAGGAGGAGAACGGCCACGTCCTCGTTCCGAGGGAGAGCAGCAACCACCTCCACAACCACCTCGCCGCCTGGCTCACGAACCAGAGGGCCCTGTGGAGGAAGGGGAAGCTCACCGGGCAGCAGATCTCCAGGCTTGAGGCGATCGGGGTCACAAAGTAGAATGAATGATGAACGAATGAAGAGTAGTTGGAGAGAGAAGGGAGGTAGGGGGGAGAAAGAGAAAGAGCCTGCTGCTGGACATACATGGTGGGTTGTTGTGAAGGTTTTAGGTGGGTCATCATCAAACGGGATTCTTTTTCTGGAGCGGGTTCGATTTCGATTTCTGTGTGTTGGTTGTAATCAAAAAAAATATATTTCATATTGGAAGAAGGATTTCCAAGCTTGGCAAACTCGAGCACTGGGGCGATCGGAATATTCATGGAAGAAGGATTTCCGCCAAACTCGAGCACTGAGGCGATCGGAATATTCATGGAAGAAGGATTTCCGCCAAACTCTCCGCCAGCTCCAGGAGGTCCTCGTCCGAGTCCGGCGGCCCCAGCAGGCTCAGGCCGACGGGCCCTTTGCCTCTTACCCGTCCGACCGGAACGCTCACCTGGGGCAGCCCCGTGAGGCCCGCGATACTGGTCAGCCGAAGCAAGCGAGCCCTGAGGTCCGTCACCACCTCGGGGCTCGATACGCGACGAGGAGGAGGCCCCGGAGTCGTGGGGAGCATGACGACGCCGTCCTCCCCAAGCAGCTCGGTCAGCGCCCGCCGGGCCCCCTCCCTCATCCTGTTCCCCGCCGCCACGTCGGAGTCCGGCACGACTCGGGCGTACTCGAACCTCTCCTTGACGCCTGGCCCGAACTCGGGGTCGTGCTCCTCCACCCAGGGCCCCAAGGTCTCCCAAACCTCGCGAGACTGCAGGACCCTGAACGTCTCGAACCACTTGTCGAAGCCCCCGCCCAGGTGGTCCAGGGCCACCTCCTGGGGGGGGGCCTTGGACGGCGAGAAGACCCTGGCGAGGTCCTCCCTCCTCGAGGAGACCGCTTCGAAGATGAGCTCCGCGGTCTCCGCGTCCGCGAGGTCAAAGGCGTCCGCGGCCACGAGCCACCTCCACTCCCGCCTCGGCAGCCCCGCAGCCGCCCTCGGGTCCAGGAGCTCCCGGCCCACCCGCCTCAGCAGCCCCGCGTCCCGGGTGAGCCAGCCGCACGTGTCGAAGCTCGGGGCCAGGGCCCTCGCGCCCTGCAAGGAGACCCTCCCGTGGCTGGGACGGATGCCAAACAAACCGCACCACGAGGCGGGGACGCGCACGGACCCGCCCGTGTCCGTCCCGATGCCGACGTCCGCCTCCCCCGCGGCCACGGCGGAGGCCGATCCCGAGGACGAGCCCCCCGGGACGGCGCCGGGAGCGGCCGGGTTCGGGGGCGTGCCAAAGTGGTGGTTCTCCCCAAAGAGGGACCACGCCAGTTCGTCCATGTGCGTCCTCCCCACGATGGACGCCCCGCAGCCGAGGAGTGTTTGGACCACGGCGGCGTTGGTGGTGGCGGGCTCGTGCGTAAGACGCCAGAGCGGGTGCCCAAACCCCGTCGTGCAGCCCTCCATGTCCATGATGTCCTTGACGGCGACGGTGACGGTGTGGAGGGGTGGCCTCTCCTGGGGGTGGGGGTCGACGACCCGGAGGCGCTCCGTGAAGGAGGAGGTGGGGGTGGGGGTGGGGGTGGGCGACGACGACGCCGCGGAGGACGACATCCTCCTCCTGTTACGGATGAGGAGTGAAAGTGATTGTGCCTTGAAGGAGTGTGTGTGTGTGTGTGTGGCTGCAGCGGCCATGGCCGCCAGAGTCATGATTTGGTTTTATGAGGGGGGGATTTTGTTGTAACGGCGAAGGAAGGGCCAGGGAGAGAAGAGAGGGAGAAGAGGGGGATCAGGAAGGGAAGAGGTTTGGGTTTGGGTTGGGTTTGGGTTGGATCACACATTCATTGTGTCTCTCGGTTTCTCTCTCTCTGTCTCTCGGTCTCTGTGTGAATGATGAGAATGATGAGAGGAGGAGGAGGAGGAGGAGGAGGGGGAATCAGAAGCGAGGTCGATGACAGGTTCGTCGTGAGACATTGTCTTGGTTAAGAATTGGCATCGATCCATTCGATGACGCGCTGGTCTTTCCTGCTCTCCGCCCATACCATGCATTCAATTGGGTCCCAACGGCAAGGCGGGTCCTGGCTTCGAGCCCACTGAGTTTTAGATCTCCTCCTCCGACTCCTCCCCTGGTTTCGCTTGCTCCGTATCCACCTCCATATTGTTCTCAAGCATCATGTCGACGAGCATTGGGTGCGGGGTCACTACCTCTTTGGCCTTTCTGTTCTCACCAATTTTTGCGCGCTGCATGTTTGCGCGCTGCATGTTCACGCCGCCTCCTCCTGCGTTCTCCTCGCACCCCTTGCCGATTTTGCCATGTCCATATTTGCATCTCCAGCACTTGAAGCCATATGAACTCTTGATTGGGATCAAGGTTTTCTCGGACTCAGGTTTCTTTGTACACGGAACACAAAACCAGAAGCCAATCGTGTTCTTCAGTTGTGTCATGCCAATTTCCTTGCTCATGTCCCAAAGCTCCTTCTTGTCCACGAACTTCGTGGCTTTCAAGAAGCAACCGAACGAGCACCACTGGCTGAATTCGCTTTTCGTGATCAAGCGGTGGCAGTACCAGCACCAGTTCGAGAGGAGGCAAGTGGGATTGTGCCCACCTCGATCACGTTCCCCCCCAGGAACCGGGGTCAGAGCTCCTGTTTTGACCAAGGGGCACTCAGGGCGACGAAAAGCATCACAGCAGATGCAGCGCAGGGCTTGCATACCGTCTGTAGTAGGAACTTGAGGAAGCTCCTCCATCAGCTTCCTTTCTTTGGTCTTCCTCTTCCCTTTCGTGTTGGTCTTGGCCTGTGTCTTCCTTTTCGTGCCAGTGCTCAAGGGACTGCTGCTGCAAGGTCCACAGGGACATGCGGCGGCATCGAATTTGCGAAGCTCTCTCTCCCTCTCCCCGCCGTCCTCGGCGTCGCTGTCCACCAGAATGCAAGGACGACTCCTCTTGCACATGTCACAACCACAAATGCATCGAGTATGTGCTGGAGCGGTGTTCGCGGTGCCTGTTGTCCTGGACGACTTGCGAGAGCATTTACCAGCGCAGGGGCATTCGAAGAAATCTTTTTGAGTCACAGAGATCGCGGTTTCTGGGAAACATTCATTCTCAAACACGACATCGACATGTTCTCCCTTTAGTGCATCCGCAAAGTACTCAAAGACTCTGCTCAATGCGTCTTCATCCAAGCCGTGTCCATCACGGTTTTCAAACAACTCGTCCCTCACGGAGTGAACGTGGCAGTATTGCCTGTAGGTCTCCAGGAACTCCATGTGCTCCTCGCGAAGAATGATGTCGTAGTTCGCTTCCGTGATGGAACAAGCAGCGACGAGCACACGAACTGTGGGTTGGTTCTTCCATGCGCGGACGAGATCACTCGCCCGTTGCTCCACAAAGCGCTTTCCAAGAAGATACGAGGAGAAGGGGTTTCCCGTGCTTCTGCTCCCCCGGCTTCTCCAGATTCTCCAGCTTGTGCCTCAGGACGTGCTCGACGTGTTCGACGAGGAGACAAAGTTCCTCAGAAGTGTGTTGGCCCGATGCTACAGAACAACGGGTGGCGCCGGACTTGAGCATGCAGTGCGACGCCGAGTACACGGCGTGCCCGTCCGAGGTGCTTGCAGCCTTGCTCATGTACTTTTTGAGCTCCTCTTTCTTTTCCTCCCCAATCAAAGCTGCTGCATGGGACGTCGGGATACACGCCAGTATAGAGGCCTGCCCTGCGCGCTCAGCAAGGTAGTCGAGGTCCTCTTCAGCTTGTGACCGTCTCGACAATCGCGACAAGGCAGCTACAAGAAGCGCGCAAGGCTCGCCCTTCTCCTTCGCAAGGGCAAGAGCTTTCGTAAGAACTTTGCGGTCCTTGAGGCATCGCGAGCGGCTGGCGGTCCCAAGCTCCACGAAACGAAATGCTTTCACCTGTTTAGGAAGATCTTTGCCGAGCAACGCGCTTGAGATCGTGGCCGCCTGACCAGCGAGCTTGTTCCCAAGCCCCTCCCGCGCAAGGGACTCGCGGAGGAAGACGATGCAGTGGGTCAGTTCTTTCAAGCCCGCAACGCGCTCCAGGTGGACTCCGCCACGGCCTCGGACCACGCGGACCAGGGTCAGCTCCTCAGGCTCGCGAGTTCGCTCCGCCCGTGTACCCTCGCGTGCAAGGGTGGGCGGCGCGCCAGCTAATTCGTCTGCGAAGCGAAGAGAGGCAAGAAGTCCATCCGCATTGAGAAGCGTCGTCGGATCCGCGTTCTCCTCGATGGCGGCCATCTCCCGCTCCCTATGAGGTCCCGCGGAGGTCGCCATGGCCACTGTGCAAGCGTTGGTGTCCAGGCTTGCCGCACGGCTGCCCGCTGCCCTGCAAGTGGGTGAAGACAGAGACATTGGGCACCACAAACCTTGGGTGCCACCCGCCATCCTTGGGCGCCACCCACCTGGAGAACCGCGGCCGGGGTGGCGCCACCAGCCCCTTCTTCACATGACGTCCCAGTATTCGTCAGTCTCCTCTTCTTCGTCGGCAACCAGCGGCCGAAGTATTCCAGGAGGTAACTCATCGCTTTCTCTCTGGTCGTGGTCTTCTCGTCCCCACTCGTCGGCCGCCTCGTTCGCGGCTCTGGCGTTACGGCGGCTCTCTTTCTCTCTCCAGCTCCCGCCAGGTCACACACCTCCTCGCCGTCCTCCTCGCCGTCCTCCTCGCCGTCCTCCGCCGTTACGATCTCGTTGTGATCCTTGTGTACAATTAACGTCTCTCATCGAATCCTTCTCTCGCGGAGCAAGAGGAGAGGCGACTGTTGTTTCGCCGCCTCCTCGGTTTGCATCTCGCAAGGGTGAATCGAACACCCGACCCCAGGATGTCGGCTTGAACCTTGTGACAGGCTCGATTAACATGTTCAGATTCTCTCAGATACTGAGAGTAGAAATCACATTACAGTCCCATGCTCTTCCAGCTGAGCTATTGCGAGTTGATAGATGTTAGTTCAAATGTGACATTTTGGCCTTTATACACGGCTGCTTTGGGTTGTCTGCGAGTAGGGTAACCATGCATTTTGGCGGTAGTTTGATCTGGCTACGGAGTGGGACACCACAGCACAGCAGACCTGACCTCGTCGTCGTCGTCGTCGTCGTCGTCGTCGTTGTCAGGATGGCGTGCCCGTTGCGCGCGCTCCTGGTCCTCTTCTCGGCCCTCGCGGCGTTGTTCGTGGTCACGACGACGACTTCCGCCGCCACGCCTCCTCCTAAATCCCTTCGTGCCTCGAAGCTCGGGCGCTTGGGGGCCTTCGCGTGGGAGGCCTTCTCCGGGGTGTACCTCTGGCGCCTCCTGACGTCTCCTTCGCGGGCGGGGGAGGACACCGCGTCGCAAGCGAAGCCGAACTGAGAGTCCCTCCCTAAAAGAAACAACAACAACAACAACAACAACAACAACATCCTCATGCCCAAACCCAACCCAACCAAACCAAACCAAGAGTTGTTGTTGTTGTTGTTGTTCTTGTACTACATATAACTTGTATTGTATTTGTACAACACTTTATTACTTCAACCCCATCCATCCCTCACAACCCACCCACTCACCACCACCTTCTCTTAGTATCTGTCTCTCTCGTGTGTGGGCTGTGCAGCGTGCTGTGGTGGGGACCCTTGGGTCTTGCATCAGTTGTTGGTGGACCTGAACCTAAAACCTAACATCCTTCCGGATGTGTGGTCCATTCCTCTGGATCTAGCCAAAAAACTCTCGCCGTTCTAGTTGGTTGTTATACTAAAACCTACATCTACTTGTACAACACACATCATTACTCGTCCATCACTCACACCTCAATCTCCTCCTCCCCCCCCCCCTAATCCTAATCCTCCTCCTATCCTCCTCATCTCTCCCTCGTCCACCCAGAGCCCGTGGAACCCGTAAGGCACCCTGACCCCGACGTCCACCTCCGCCACCTCCGACATGGTCCTCGCGTCGTACACCACCAGGAAGCTCTTTTCCTCCTCATCATCGTAGACGAACGTCGTGAGGTACCCGTCGTCCTCCTCCTTCCCCCCGTCCCGCGGCACGAAGGTGCACTCGCCCCCGAACCTCCCGCTGCCGAAGTGTATCCTCCCCCTCACGCGATCCTCCCCGTCCTCACAAAGGACGTCGCACTTGACGACGCCGTTGGTCTTCATTCCGTCGCAGAACGTCGCCAGGTACACGTACTTTTGCCTCTTGGACAGGTACCTCGGGTTGATCGTAGGGAAATCCAGCAGGTAGGCGTCGCCGTTGCCGCAGTCCTTGGGGTCCAGGATCTTGGCCTGGGTCGCGATCCCCGTCCTCGGGTCGAAGGTGAAGTGGAGCAGGGACGTGGACGAGGTCACCTCGTCGCTGCCGCTCAGGTTGAGGAGGTCCTTGCCGCTCTTGAAGTTCACCGCAAAGTCGACCGTGAGCAACTCGTTCGTTCGTGCGTTCGACTCCTCCTCCTCCTCCCCAAGAGACTTGACGTTCAGCCCGCCGTGCGCCCCGGGCAGGAACCTTGCTGCTGTCCTATCCCGCTCTACCCCCTGCTCCCAAGATCTTGGGGATCTTGTGCTGTTGGACGAGATCAGGTCCCCGACTCCCTTGTACGTGGACGTGCTGCACGCGTAGAGGTGGACCCTCCCGTCGCCCTGATCGTCCCAGGCGTTCGAGGTGTGGAAGATCATCCCGGACGGGAGGTCGAACCACTGGATCTGCGAGGCGTCCTCGGCGCACCTCGGGAGCAGGGCGAACTTGCTCGGCATCTCCGGGTCGAACACGAAGGGGAAGCCCTCGCCCCCGACCATCTCCTTGGGCCTGAAGTAGAGCGGCATGTAGAGGAAGACGGCGTAGGTCTCCGTCAGGGCCATGTCGTGCATCATCGCGGGGCCGTGCGGCAGGTCGATCGGAATCGACCGGACCAGGTTCCCGGCCCTGTCCAGGACGCCGTAGTTCAGGTGGGGGGCCTCCCTCAAGTTGTACCCGAAGAAGTGGAGCTCGCCCGTCCTCTCGTCCCTCTTCGGGTGGGCGGTGAACTGGTCGAAGCCCTTGGGCGCCTTCCTCCCCCCGTTCATCTCAGCGGCGGTGATCGTCGCCCTCCCGATCGTCTCGATGGCCCCGGTGCACATGACTTTGATCTCGTAAGGCAAGTCCGACTCGTAGAGCGCCAGGAGCTTGTCCCCGTGGAACGCCAGGCTCGTGTTGGCGCACCCGCTGCCCTTCCCCTTGTCCAGCAGGCCCAGCTTGACCTTGAGGCTCTCGGAGAGCAGCGCCAGGAGCCCAGTCTTCCCCGTGAGCTCCCCAATTTTCGCGAAGGCGGCCCGGCCGTACGCCTTCTCCTGGCTCAGTCGGGCCGTGTCCACGTACCTGTTCGCGTACGAAGCCTTCCCGCCCTTGATCCTCACGCCGTGGACCATCGCGTCCCCGTCAAACCAGTGGTACTTGCCGTTCGGCTTGAAGTAGGGATTCGGCCCGTTCCGGAGGTACGCGCCGTTCAGGGAGTCCGGGAGCTTCCCTCGGGTCACCTCCAGGTCCTCGAGGGTCACCTCTTCCGCCGTGGGCGCGAAGTTCCCCTTGAGGAAGCCGACCGGCTCCGGCGGTTCCCCAGGGTAAACGAACCTCTTGTCAAACCAGTCCATCAACCTCCTTCTGTGCGTTACGACGACCAGGACGAGCGTTACGACGACAGCAACCACCGCAAGGCACACCCCAAGGGCCCACGCTCCACCCACCGAGAGGCCCATCCCCCCCCCCCTCTCTCTCTCTTTCTCGGAGACCGGTGGCTGACACAACCTCCCCTCCCCGCTTGTGCGACGAGAGAGACCAATCGTGATTCATCTTGGATGACTGACGCGACGCCTCAAGCAGAGCAGAGAGAACGCAGAGAGAGAGAGACAGAGAGGAGGAAAGGGCATCGAAAGAGGGTTGGTACAGCGCAATTGACATGGTCGAGGGAAGGATTTCGTCCTGCTGGGCGGTGTTGGCGGTTGGGATGGTCCTTGCGGCGTGCGCGCCGGCGGTGGAGGGGCGGAGGGGGTTGCAGCAGAATTTCGTTCGCGCGACGCCGGGGCACTCGACAGCGGTCGACTTCACCCACTTCCCCACCCAGGCCCCGGAGTCGTACGGAAAGCTCGTGGGGAGGGACGCGGAAAAGTTCGCTGCCAGGCTCCCAGGGGACGTCCTCCTGCACCAGGGCGAGAGGATCGCGGAGAGGAAGGGCGTGGATTTCCTTCGCCACAGAATTGGGTGACGAGAAGAACGCCGCAGCCCTAATGATGATGATGATGATAATAATAAGTTATTATTAATAACCTTCTGTTGATGACAATAGCGCTTTACTTCAAGCCGTGGACCTGAACGCCGATCTTCCTCTGCCTCTCCGGCTGACCGTCCAACTCGAGGAAGATCACGGACTGATACGTCCCAAGCACGAGCTTCCCCTCGTGGACCGGGACGGACTCGCCCTGGCCCATGAGCATCGCAAGAATATGCGAGTGCGCGTTGATGGGCTCGTCGTTCGCTTGGTTTCCTGCGCCACAGGATTGGATTTACATGAAGCATCAGTGAACAACTCTAAATCCTTCAAGTCGGTAGGAATCTTCAGAGCAATCCGTTGCTCCAAAACCTCCAGGATGCTTCTCACATCTTTGAAGAACGCCGCAACCCTAGTAATAATAATGATAATGATGATGATGATGATGATGATGATGATGATAATCACTACTCTTGATGACAATAGTAGTAGCACTTTGGTCTCGCCAATAGTAGAACCCTTTTCGTCGTCTCGCTTGTTAGCTTGCTCCTTCCCCTTTTTCGTCCCCAACAACAACTCAGCGGCCTCTGGACAGGGCCCTTCCCGCGTCGTCGACCTCCTTCACGACGCGCTCTAGCCTCCTCCTTGGGAACAGCGTGTCGGGTCCAAAGTTGTTGTAGTGCCCGAGGACGGCGTTGATGGCGCTGTAGGTGTTTCCGTACGAAGGCCTCCCGATGTAGTCCGACCTCCTGTACTTGGCGACCCACTTGTTCGACTCCTGTCGCACCGCGTTCACCACCTGATCAGAATCGGTGCTCTCGTTGGTCAGGGCCAGGGTGGACTTCAGAACCCCGAGGACCTCCGTCTGCAAACGAAGAGGAAGGGGACGGGGGCGAGGTCAGTCAGTCTACTACTTTGCGGTCGTCGTCGTCGTCGTCGTACTCACGGTGTCGTTGACGTAGACGTCCTCCGGGATGCCTCCGAAGAAGCCGGCGAACGCGGGCTTGGCCGCGACCAAGCCCGAGAAGAGACCCGCGAGAACGCTCTCCCTCCTTCTGAGAACCCCAGCAGCCTTGTCCGCATGGGCCCTCACGCAAACGTTTCTCGCAACCCTGGTAAGGAAAAAAACAAAGCGAAGCGAAACGAAACGAAACGCGAGAGCGAATGCAGTGTCAGTCCTCCTCCGTTGTGGTTGTGGTTGTGGTTGTTGGATTTGTTTTTTTTTGTTCGTTCGCTCAAGTGGCGTACCTCGAGGCTCTGTTTCCCGCTCTTCCCTGCGCCAAGGGCTTCGCGGCGACAGCCTTGTTGTTGCACACCAAATGCTTCATCTCGCTCCTCGCACGACGCAAGCCCCCGCTCCTTCCAATGACAGGACAAGTTATGTGAACCACAAAGAGACTGACCCCCTTATCCACTCCTCCCCTCCTCCTCTCTCTCTTCTGGCGAGAGACGTGCGCGCTCGCCAAAACTAACGGGACTTCTCTTCTTCAAAAAAAAAAACTTTCTTTCTCTGGAGAGAGGAGAGAGCCAGAGCACAGAGAGACAAGTGTTACGTAACACACACACACACACACACACGTACACACCACACTCTTCCTTTCTTCCTTTCTTCCTTTCTTCCTCTTCAGCCTTCTTGTTCGGCTTGGCTGGGTCCCCGCGGCGTGGAGGGCGGTCGAGGACCTCCTGGTACCTTGGCTCTCCGGGCAAAATACAATACGACACGATTC